AATAAAAGAGACCAGTTCCTAGTTATCTGAGAAGTGAGAGAGTATGGCAAGCTGAATTGGAATGAAGATCCTATTTAGATAACTTGACATTCTCAAGGAGAGGCAGCAGAGGTAGATTTGAGTCTATCATGCCACCCAAAGGTTGAAGACTTTTAAATGGGAAAATAATGTGATTAGATGTACATTCCAGAGAAATCACTCTGGCTATAGAAGGAAGGTTTCATTGATGGGAAACAAGAGGAAACACTCAGAGACCAGTTTGGATGCTATTGGAAAATTTCCCATGAAAAATTGTGTTATCTTGGAGTTGGTATCATCCGACTTGCAGTAGTGGGAAAGGTGAAATATGGACATATTTAAGAGTTATGATTTAGTGCTAGAATGGGAAGGGCAGGAGAGGCACAGGAATGACTTCCTTTGTTATCATTTGAGTAGCAACTGGGTGGATAAGAGCATCGGACAAAAGCAGAATTCAGGGAAGATGATCATAATTTAATTTCTGAAGTCTGAAAAGCATATGAGACATCCAACGAGACACATGAAGTAGACAATTAAATATTTCTGCCTATGATTCACAATACAGATGAAGTCTAGAGATAGAAAATTGAGAACTTCATAATATAGCAAGTGCTTCAGATTGTGAACTTGATCCTTGAGAAGGGGTCCTGAGTCAGATGAAAGGGATTGTTAGTCACAGGATACAGGATGACATGTTGACTGTTGTCATTAGCAGCAATTTCACAGAAAAACTAGAAAATTGTCTTGTCATTATATCCACTTCAATTTGATATAGATATATAGCTTTCTGGTGATTTAGGTTGGTCCAGAGATAGTGTTGAAAAAAAAAAATCTCAGGGTCACTTAGTGAACATTTCATTTCCAGTGGTTCTAGACTGGAGAGGAAAGTACCTACTAATCACAGGGAGTTTGGAAACCAATGGGGACTTTTTATTATCTTGATGATTAAAGAGGCATTATCCACATTGAATTATTAGGGGACAAACACATTTTTACCAAACCCAAGATGAAAATAGGGCCCCTTGAAAGATACCAGAAGCCTCTTGTGCCACATATCTTCCTGTGGCTGGCTGATTATAACCTTTCAACCTGCCTGCCAAGGAGGGCCYCTAGTCCTCTCTTGAGTGCTCTCCTCTTCAGAATTCTGTTCTTTGGTTGAATAACTGCTCTTTCCCTTGTATTCTTGAACCTAGAGGAGATGACGGCTCTCGCTCTGTCATCCATTGATAAGTGCCCTGTCCCTCCTGGCTATTCTGCACCTAAATAAGCATGAATAAGTAAATTACTTGAGAATACATAGTTTGAGTGCATCATTATTGGGGTGGGGGGTCCTGAGTCTTAACAGCTATCTTTTCCACAAATCATGTGTCTCATCTGTAGTTCCCTGGTGATCTTGTAATTCTAGATTTAGTTGTCTGTTAAGTTCTAGGCTACTGAATAGTTTTCATCCTTTTTATTTTTTATATTATCCTTTTATGGTGCAAACTTGTCATTTACTTATAATTCAAGCAGCCTGGATAATGCTAGCTTGGTGGATTATTCTCTCCCTTCTGCCTGAAGGTGGTCTCAATAGAACCCAATAGAAATGTATGTAGTTTTCCCTTAGTAAGCAGTTTTCTCTGTGTGTGTATTATATATATATATATATATATATATATATATATATATATATATGTATGTATATGTGTGTACACACACACACACACACACACACACACACATGCATATGCTAAAGACATTCCTAAAGAAGTACCAGATAAGAATCTGACCTTCTATAACAAAGGGCATGAAAAAATCAATTTGAACCTAGAAATAAAATTAAGGTAGATTTTTCTATTCAGCCACATAAGATATATAAATTTTTTTTCAGAGATAAAATTGAATGAAAGAGGGAAAACTTTGCTTTCTTTGACTCAAGATCATCAAAAACCCAGAGTTCATATTTCCCAGCTATAAATGGAGACAGTGACTGAGTAACTGCACTGAGACAGACATCCTAACTGCTGCAGCTCTAAAGTCTGTCCCACAATGGATATTCAGAGCCACAGTTTGGAAAGTAAAGCCAGTCGTGTTTGCAAGTACACATAAAAGAATTAATGTAGACCTTACTCCTCAGAAGCAACTCTTTGGACAAATTTCTCTCTTTTCTGTTGAACGCAGCACGCGCATGCATACAAACATACACACACACGTGCACACACACATACTCACACATACTCAAACTCCATTCTTAAAGGCTTTGAGTGAAGGCATCAGACCACTGTTTCAGGAGCCATTGCCTGCTTCTAGGAATATCTGCTTACTAAAGTTCTTTGGGGGGATGAGAAGATTTTCCTTAACTCTGCTATAAATTCTGTTGTATCTATTCTGGCATGTTTTTGAATATTTTACAGATCATAACTATGTGTTTAAAAATTGTGTATTTATATATATATATATATATAAATACCTATATTTATACATATTTTTTCTCTTGAGGTTTTACATATATTTTACCTCATTGGATGTGGAAGGGGTGAAGACCAGGAATTGTTTATTTATATTTCTTAAGGTCAAAGAAACTTAGCAACACTTATGGGTCCACATATTCAGATAATTGAATTGAAGATTCACATAGTGAACCTTTTTTACTTGGATTATTTGGTGTTTCCAAGCATATATTTTTGACATTTAATTTTTATTTTTGTGAGAATTCTTGAATTTCTATCACGATTTAACATTTTCATTTTGAAAATCAAGCACATTTAAATATTATGCTCATCTATAAATACACATGTATGTAATTTTTTGAGACTCAGAACTTTTTAATATGGCATTTTTTTTTCCTATTAGTCATTTTCCAAGCATCTTCAATATGTCGAACTCTGTGAGGTTAGGGGAGGTGGCTAGTATCCCTGGATGAATAGTAGATGTCTCCCTGTCCCAGAGGACTTGATGATGTGGTAGAGGAGCTGACGCATAGTGACTGTTGAATGTGTGTCTGAACGAGGGTCGGTGCAGCCAGGACACAGGAACAGGCCAGATGCACCTCTTGTGGCTCATCTTTCTCCTGGTGCAGGCATTCAGATTTACTTTTGCCCAAGTCAGGATAATAGCATTCATTCTTGTCTTGCTACTTGAACAAAATTTGAACTGTATGATGTATCATTGTTGACCAGAGGCAAAAATCAAACATCAGACCTCTAGAGCTAATTCATCTTTCTTGACTAAAATTTCTTGACTAAAACTCCTCTTTCAATCTCTCCCTAACACATGGCAACTACCATCCACCCCTTGATTCTATGGGTTTGACTGTCTTTGATACTTCATATAGAGGAATCATACAGGATTTCTCTCTCTGTGTGAATGAGGCATTTTTCTTATTCTAATGCTCTCAAAGTAAACCTATGTTCTTGCGTATTGTAGAGTTTCCATCTTTTTAAAGGCTGAATAGTATGCCATTGTATATGTATGACACATTTTATCTATTTAACTATTGATGGCCATTACGACTAGTGCTTCCGTGAACAAGGAGTGCTGATATCTCTTAGAGATCTTGATTTCAACTGTATTGAGTACATATTTCTAAGGGAAATTTCTATTTTAATTTTCTGAGGAACCTCCAAACTATTTTCTATTAGTGTCTGCATAAGTTTGCATTCCCACCAGTAGTGTGCAAGAGTTCCAACTTCCTGTTCAATATTACTTTTGTTTTATTTTTATTAATAGGTATCCTGGCTGCTATGGGGAGATATTTCATTGGTTCCTTATAGTTATGCATGATAGTAGAATCCATTTAGATATAAAAGCATGGATATATCTTGTTCTAATTCAGTCTCCAGTACCTTTCCCTCCCTTCCCCTCTTCCCACACCCCCTACTCCCTTTCCTCTACTGATCTTTCTGCCATTTAACCATAGTTGTGTTTTCTAACTAATGTCTTGTGAATGAACTCATGATGAATGTAGTTTGACTATTAACCCCTTATTGGATATGTGATTTGCCCTGTTCTCTACCATTTTGTAGTTTGCCTTTTCTCTCTGTTGATTGTTTCCTTTGCTGTGTCAGAGAACTTTTTTAGTTTATATAGCCCTATTGGTTTATTTCTGTTTCCATTGTCTGTGCTGCCATGTTTATTGACGTTATATCCATGAAATTGTTGCAACAACCAATGACGCTTTACACCTCTGTGTTTTCCTTTAGATATTTTTAGTTTCAGGTCTTAAGTCTTTTGCATCTTTAAGCCTTTAATCCATTTCTAGTTGATGGTGTAAGGGTCCACTTTCATTTCTTTGCTCATGGATATCCAGTTTCCTCGATTCCTGTTTAAGAGATTGCACTTTCCCCAGTGTGTATTCCTGGTTTGTCTGTCTTTGAACCAGTATCACAATGTTTAGATTCCTGTAGTTTTGTGGTATATTTGAATTGTAGTTCATCCAGCCTCATTCTTGATTCTCAATATTGATTTGGCAATTCATGATCTTTTATAGCTCCATTTGAATTTTAGAATTTTTTTCTATTTCTATAAAAATGTTATTGGGATTTTGATAGTGATTATAATGAATCTATATATAATTGTAGTTAGTAAGGACATTTTGGCACATTAAGTCTCTCAGTTTATGAACACATAATTTCAACAATGTTTTATAGTTTATAGTGTATATATATGTAATTTACCATATTAAGTTTATTCCTGGGTGTTTTCTTAATTTTTATGCTATTATAAATGGACTTATCCCCTTGATTTCCTTTTTTAATTGTTTACCGGTAGTGCAGAGAATCACAACTGATCTTTGCATTAATCTCTTTGAGGGTAGGACCATGCCTTATTTGTATTACATATCTTAAATCATAAATAACAATAAGTTATTAATATTTATTAATTTATAGATTTTTATTCTGTTTCATTGGTTATAATCTTTGCCATTTTTTCTTCTCTCTCTCTCTGTCTCTCTCTCCCCCCCCACTCCCTCCCTCCCTCCCTCCCTCCCTCTCTTTCTTTAGGGCTCTACTAGTACAACAGCCTCTCCTCCAGTCTCTACTCCTGTCACAGGACACAAGAGAATGGTCATCCCAAACCAACCTCCTCTTACTGCAACCAAAAAGTCTGCAACGAAGCCACAGCCTGCACCCCAGGCTGGCCCCATCCCTGTGACTCCAATTGGAACACTCAAACCCCAGCCTCAGCCAGTCCCAGCCTCCTACACCACGGCATCGACCCCTTCAAGGCCTACCTTCAATGTGCAAGTGAAGTCAGCCCAGCCTAGCCCTCATTACATGGGTGGCCTTTCATCTGGACAGATTTATGGCCCAGGGTCCCATGGCTATAACACTCAGCCAGTCCCTGCCTCTGGGCAGTGTCCACCTCCTTCAAGCCGGGGAGGCACAGATTATGCATACGTTCCACCACCAGGACCTCAACCCGAGCCTGGGTATGGCTATGCCCCCAACCAAGGACGCTATTATGAACCCTATTATGGAGGAGGGTCTGCCTATGGGGGCAGAAATGACTCCGATCCTGCCTATGGTCTGCAAGGTCACCCAAATACCTGGAAGCGAGAACAAGGGTACACTCCTCCTGTGATGGGGAACCAGAACCCTGCTGGGATGTATCCAGTCCCTGGTTCCAAGAAGACCTATATCACAGATCCTGTGTCAGCCCCCTCGCCACCACTGCAGCCAAAGGTAAGAAATTCATGAACACAGTGATGGGGAAAAGGTGGGCCTCACGTAGTACACCTTCACCAGAAGGCAAAGCTGATGACCAAAGTGCACAGGCTACTCTGTTGTTTCATTAGCAAATACAATCCCAGGGATGAGAGTAAAGTAGGAAGGAGAGAGATTTTATTTGCAAATATGTCATCAGTGGGGCTACTGTATAGTAGCAGGTACAACTAATTGCTCCTTCTTAAAGGATATCATCTCCCAAAAAGCCACATCAACCATAGTATCTCAGGAAAATCTGTTTTTGCAAAGAGAGAAAATTATCTTCCTGTACATCAAAACATGCCTCTTTGGAGCAGGAATTTCCTCAGACAAGTTTTATTTGCTTATATATTAAATAAGCATGCATCATCTTACACTTTAGCAGATAGAGAACATTCCCAGATCTATAAGTGGGAAGTGTGCAGGGTAGACTTGAGGTGAGCTGCTATTGGGCTATGCCCATGTGTTGGCTCCACAGTGGCTGCAGGAGTAGAACAAGTGGCCAAGGACTCAGGAGATGGCCGAGGCCAAAAGGATTTCAGCAAGGCAGACACCTCAGAGTTTACTCAGAGAAGCTGCAGCACAGCAGGACTGGTCTGTTGCCCCTTGTTTATTCCCATGACTGGTCCTCCAAGAAAAATCTCACTTTTCACCCTTTAACCCAAGAATGCTTAAAAATCCTTTATGAATACCAGTTATCTTCTGCTCCTTGACCTTTTTAGTCAGTGCATTCAATTTCTTCCTCTTTCTACATAAGGCATAATACTCAACATCACACTGACAACAACTGGGATTTTCTATTAGTACTAAACCAACACCATATTTTTTACTCCCACCACGACAGAGGAACCAATGAGAATTACTGGAAATGGTGAGGCGAAGAAACTGAGCTGGCTTCCAGCCATTATGTTGGAACAGAGCCCTCCTTTCCTTTCAGTTAGAACTGTGAGGTATCAGGAATTTGAAAACCTTCCATTAGCCTACAGCTGAATCGTAACTGGGGGGATGTATTGGATGGAAGGTTGGACTATGTATCTATATTTCATTCCTTTTCATAATTTTGACAAGATTGTCAATTTCCAGACAGATCCATTCTCATACTCAACCTCATAACAAAAATTTCCCTCAGGGTGTCTACTAAACCGTTCTTCTCACATGTAAGTTTATGCTCTATTAATGGTGTTCTAAGCGAATATCAGGTTCCTTAGAGAACTAGAGACCTTCCTAGATGGGGCCTGTGAAGGGCTTGGAGGAATCTGTCAACATCATGCATAACCATTATACAAAGTGGGACAGCCATGATCATTGTCCAGTATCAAGATTCCAAGTTAAAATCTTACATGATTTTAAAGCATTGTCTCTTTATGATGATAAATGTTACTAAATGCGTTTTGCATTTGTTTTTTAAAGCAGGCTTATCTAAAATAGGCAATCTGTACAACTTGCGTTTGTTAACATGACAGTAGATTTACATTAGTCCCCCCTGCCCCAGAAAGAAACCAGTTTAGATAAATTAAGATTATTGAACTTTACCTTGCTTTTTTTTTTTTTGCAACTGCAATAAGTCAAGATTACAATAAAATAAAATAGTAAGTTGTAACAGTGGGTAGCAACATTTAAGTTCTAATAGGTAAGCAATTTTGCCTTGGCCAAGACAACCTGACTCAAATGATGATAATCAAAAGGAAAAGAGACARTCTCTAAGGGTGCTGTTATCCCACTTGGGGACCCTTACATTGAAGATAATAAAAGCTTCCCATCTACTTGGAGGGAATCCTTTGATGAGAAATACTGAGCCAATCTTCAAGTGCTCTGTTTACCAGTTACCACATTGAATCCTCAGGCCAGTCCCTGTTCAACATTCAGAAACAACAGAGGAAAAAGAATCAGAGTTCATTGTAAAGCCTGAATCTAAGAGCTTGAGTCCAGCCACATCCTTAACATTGGATCTGTTTCATCATCCCGCTTTGGGTGATGGAATGAATTTTTATTAACTACTCACCAGAAATCATGCAACTTCATTTTGTTTACTATGTGAGTAAAGTGATGATCTATTACACTATTACAGATTTTGGGAATCGGCAGATTTCATATCACTTGTTAAATTTTTTAAATATTTGTTTTTCAACAGGGTCGTGTTTTCACATCATATTCAATTGAGCATTTTAAAAATGAGAATCAGATTATGTACTTTTCGCTGTGATTATTAAGGGGAGTGGCTAGAGGTTGACATTTAGCCATCTGTCTGTGCTTTGGGAAAGGGAGAAAGGGACTGATACAGCTACAAGATATATATTCTGTGTGTGTTGTGGGTGCCTGGGCTGATGGAGGAGTGGGCTTTTTCACAGTTGGTTTTGAGGAGAACATTCCTTTGTTCAACTGCACCTGGACACAGTTGACCTTATTTTCTACATATTGACTCTATTTGGCTTAATGATGTAACTACTTGCGTGAGAAATGAGCTCCTAATTCTTATCCTAGTTCTTCCTTGATATTCCACTTTCAATTTGAGGAAAACTTTTAGACCTCTTTATTTGCTTTCAACCTCAGTAAAGTGGAACGTCATCTTCACTAATTAATTAATAATTGCAAAAGGGCTTGGAAATTTCCGAGGGCTAAATAATTGCCAAGTTAGGGCTATTAGCTTTTCCACTGGCTTTTATTTATTTCTATTTTTKGGGGGGTCACTGATGGAAAAGTTACCTTTATATCTGGAAACAGTGATACTTTATAAAATTGCAAATTTCTGGGGAAGTTGGCATTAAACCCACTGAAGAAAAATTAAAAATGATATATTGGAGATAAGCTGCTTTACTATTCTTACATTGTAGTGCATACAAAAGAAGAGAAAGAAGAAGGGAATGGGGAGAGAGAAAAAGGAAGAAAGATAAAATCAGAACCTACAAGGCTTAGGGGACCAGGATTATATCTGTGTTCCCATAATGTGCTGAGCAGTGAATTTGCATGGCGCAGTAGGCCATAATGTGTTTCCTGTACCATCTGAACTGAGTTCCTTGAAAAATGTTGTTATAAGCAAGTCTTTATAAGGGAAAAATGTTGCCTTCTGGCTGGAAATCCTCTTAAAGATACAGTGGAATCTTTTCTCTCTGCTGAGTTAGAAAAGCTAATATATTAACTCTATGCTTCTGTATTATTCACCGGGTTTTTGTCCCATGCATCATTTTCACATCTCTGTGAGGTAAGTTATGTAGTTTCTTCAATATTCAGAGAAGGTGGCTTAGGTTAAAAGTGCCAGAGCCAGAACCTATTGACCAGTCATGATTCCAAGCCCACAGTAGCAAAGCACCTTTAGACCCTTTTTCTTATCTTAAAACGGAATCTAGGTCGACCTCAGCTGTGTTACAGGAGCAGATATTTGCCACATAGTACATGAAAGCAGTGTTCTGCTCACACTACAGAAGTTGGTGAATTTATCCCACCTATGGAGGTTATGTTAAATTCTAAATCATCTATTATTGAAATTTCCTTGAAGGCATCCTTCAGGATACTGAGACCTTAAAGGTCCTCAAACCATCTCTCTGTCTAGCATAAAATGTTTCTCCTCAAAAGTGAGAATAGATCATTTCTTTTCATTTAGATTTGAGGTTTGAGGAATATTTAATGGTTCAGAGAAGAGGAACTGTGAGGGTCAGTATTGAAGAGACACCTATATTTGGGAGTGTTGATATAGTACCATTTCAGACATTCCAGTAACACCAGGGTGCTTCAGTTTCTTATAATGACATGTATATTGGGTGCACTGAAAAGACATTCCTGGCATTTTAAAGAGAACCTTCTTGATAGCATTCCCTGTGCTAAATATTTTGCAATAGGGATGGAGATACACACAGACACACACACACGTGTGTGTGTGGATATACATATAAATGTACCCACACCTCATGTCAGTTGCCAATATCTGATCATGTGTGAAGATGAGAATGGAAGACATGGCTCAAAGAGGTCGGTGACAATATTTTGTAATTCCTCTTTGGACAGAACTTTTCAGTTAGTGTACCTTCTAAGTGTCTGTGAATATTAAACATAGGCAGAAGATTTTATTTCTATTATTGATGAAGATTCAAAAGCTCAGGAATGAGATTATCCACTTAAGGTCACATGTTAAATTCCTGGGAGAGCCACAATTCCAATTCAGGACTTCCAAAGATGGTCCTTATGCTTTTTCCTTTGCAATCCCCTGGATCTTAGTATCTTTGAGTATTTGGGTGGCAGGAGCTCCATATCAGCACCATTGGACGTGGCTCTGGTATGGTCATGACACAAGTAGACATGGAAGTAAGCTTAATGAAGATGAGATTTAGGTTGGAGGGGAGGATGAGTTTTAGATCTGGATCTCCTCTTCACTGTTATACACATGAGATTAATCCCCAAATTCTTTTAGTTTCCACCATGTCTAAAATATAATTCTCTTGTCCACTTCCTATTGAATTCATTTCTCACCCATGCTTTTGGGATGGCTTCTTATCAAGTATCTCTTCCTCTAGCCACTTTTCACCCCCATTTATCTTATACCTACTGTCAGATTAATTAGCTGTATTACTGGTGCTGCCCTTAGCATTAATTGCCCTTTTCAGAAACCTCAAGAAGCTGTCTCCAGTTACATTGACATACAAGGAAGACATTGAGACCCCTACTGGCTTTCCTGTTTTATCTCCCCCTTTGAGCATCTAGGCTTCCAGTTGATAAGTTATGTTTTTTGTTAGTTCTCTCTATAGCTTTGCACACTAAGCTCTTTCTTGGTATGCTTTCTCTGTCCTCCCCCAAGTGAAGAAAATATTTGCACATTCAAATGTGACCCATGAAGTCCCAGGTAATGTGTTAATCTTTCTCATGAAGACTTCTCATCTTCTTAAAATCAAGTTGCACATTATTTCTTGTTCTTTTTTTGGAAGTTTTTATACTCTTACTATACTACCATCATTTATGTAACCATTTTCCATCAATGTATGCCCCAAAGT